AGGTATCAAAAGTAAACAAATTCATAGAAGCAGAAAGTAGAATGGTGGTTGCCAGGGGCTGGGGAGAGGTAGAAATGGGTATTACTATTCAAAGGGTGTAAAGTTTCAGTCATTCAAATGGAAAAGTTCTAGCGACCTGCTGGACCACATTTGTGCATGTAGTTAAACAATACTGTTCTGTACACTTAAAAATATGTTTAAAATAGACTTCATGTTATGCGTGTGTGTTTTTCAATCAAATTTTTTAAAATGTATTTTTTACTAGAGAAAGGATCCTGAAGCTAGGGTCTATAAGCCTCGGCCCAAACTGTATATAACATTGGGAGATCATGTGAAGCCTTGTAGGAGAGAGATAGTGTAGCTTTCACTAGGATCTCTAGAGTCCTCAATTCAGAGTAGCTCAAGATACTGTCATGAGGAATATTATATTCAAATGTGGGTTTACAAAGCATTACCTAAGAAAGTTTTTTTTCTTAAAAAATAATTTACTCCGTTGTGATTACAAGGTACAGGAATGTGCAAGGGCAATGCCTGTGACTCTGTGGCTGGCAGCCCCAGGCTGTGCATCTTTAAGTGCCCTTGTCCAATATCAAGTTTTTCTTGTCCCCACATTCACTCACACCCTAATGGCTGCAGGGTATGGTATCTGACCGTGTGGAAAGTTTAACTTGAGTATCCAGCTCACTGATAACTACTGAAAGGGAGCTAGCTGTTTCAAGTGTTGGTTTCCCAAAACTGTCATGAACAAGTAGATCACAGTACATTCAGTCACATATGTGTTTTAAAAGATGTTTCTTAAACAGTAGTGAGTAAGGCCACTTCTATGTCCCCAGCCTTCTAAGGCTCAGGTTGCCTGTGGCCCCAGAACAAGAGCCCCTCATGGTCCCCCACATCCTAGGGCAGTAATGGAGAAAGGGCAGGCCAGGTCAAGCATGAGGAATTAAGTCAATTTTATTGGGCTCAGACTAGGAGTCCATGAGTCTTGAGGACTTCTGTGTATTTGTCAGTTTTCTTCTCCACTTCTTTTCCTCCTGTTTCTATAGCCTCATGAGCTGCTTTTACTTCTGGTAATGGATCTTGGTCTTCTCCTTCCTCTTCTCCTACAGAGTGGCTGTGACTGCCTCATACTGCCAGCTAACCTCATGGGCCAGGTGCTGCAGGTAGGCAAACTTCTGTGTAGGCTTCAGACGCACCACTGTGAGGCCCACAGGGACTGCCATTCGCTTCTTCTTTTTTGTCATAGGGTGGCAGGATCCCATCAAACCCCTTGAGGCAGGTAACCTGTCCTTGTTTGCTCTTGTGGGGCAGGATGGGTCACCCAATCCACCAAAGATGCACATGGGACCTCAAAAGTGGTAAGGGCCCCATGATGGGGTGGTGTTCATTCACTTATGGAGGAAGGCCAGGTACTTTAGCTTGTTTCTGTAAAAATTACCAAAAATGTTGATGCCCTACACTGCACCACTACCACCTTCTGGCCCAGCAGCACCTGCTTGGCCAGTATTGCCTCCAGTAGGCCCAGGAGATGACCTTGGCCATTGAGCACCAGGACCTGCCCCTCTGCCATCTTTAGCAGCTACCTGGGAAAGCCTAAGAAAGTTTTTTTTTTTAAGAAAAGTTCAGAAAAGAATGGATATTTCAGTCTTGTTCCTCCCCAAAAGATAAACTGGTCAATAGAGTTCTAATGAAAAAAAAGAGTCTTCGTGAGGATATTATTTTTTAATGAAGTACAAGTAAACAAACTTTTAAATTTCTCTTTCCTGCTTCTGCTGATTGGCCATTTGCCCACCTCCCCTAGCTAACCCTTTTTAAAACATATTGTGATCCTTCTTGATTTTTAAATATTAGCATAATCTAAGTTTCTATCTAAATCCCCATTTTCACATCATTCTGATATCCTTGAGTTGAGATTATCCACTTCAAATGGCTCCAACTGTAATCCAATGTGTATTATTAATTACCATTCCTCTCTTAATATGGAGTTTCCTATTTCTACCTGCCCACTGGACTTCCTACCTTTTTCCCCACAGGCAATTTCATGTACTTTAGGTGAACTCATTATCTGTTGGTCACACCATGAGTGACCACACACACATACACACAAGCACACACAAAGAAATACATCCCTGGAATCTTCTCCATTGATTTATCACTTGGTTCATGTCGATCATCAAGTCTTTGTTTGCACATATACTATGTGTAGCCACTTGCCAGGAAGTAATCACAGAATTTGCAAACTGTAGAGGAATATAAGAAATCAAGTAGTTCAATCTCTTCAATTTACAGAAATGGGAATGATCTGCTTAATATCACACTGCAACTTAATGGCAGAACCAGATGAGAATCCAGACACCTCAAGTTCTACTCCGCACCCTTCCACTACATAATCATGCTCCCACTAACTGTACAACTAGGAAAGAATGAGATCCCTGCTAGTAGCATTTATTTTTATCAGTAAGCAAGCAATATTATCCAGCCATCCTATATTCAAAATGTCTACTTATGTGCTGTTTGCACCAGAGGCTAGGTAATTTATGTTCTTCTGTTATAATGATGAAAAGGTAAACTGAAGAGTGCAACAAGAAATCAGCATAGAGTTGGTTTTGAAATAAAAATAGATTGGCTAAAGGCTAGCTCAGTGTTTACTTTCATAATAAGGTTGTAAGGGTTTTTACTTTTTCCTTATCAAAGTGTTTTCATATGTATTATTTTATTTTAGTCTCCAACAGGCCTGGGAGGTAGGTAGGTCAGGGCTTATTAGCTGAAATTTACAGATGAAGAAAATGAGACTGAAAACAGTTAGTTTAGTGATTTGCCCAGGGTCACCCATCTGGTTAGTGCAAAAGCCAGGGCTCACATATGTGTCTCCTGTTTCCAAATCTCTTTCTTCTAGTCTAGACACATAATTCTAATAGACCTTGAGTGATGACTGCATATCCTGTGAAGTGAGCTTTACAGATTTCAGTATACTGAGACTGAAACATGCTGAAAGGAGAAAGGAGTTTTACCCCCAAAAGAAAAAGAGCCCTGGCTGGTGTGGCTCAATGGAATGAGCGCTGGTCTGTGAAGCAAAGGGTCACTGGTTCGATTCCCAGTCAGGGCACATGCCTGAGTTGTGGGCCAGATCCCCAGTGGGGGGGCGGTGCATGAAAGGCAATTACACACTGATGTTTCTCTCCCTTTCTTTCTCCCTCCCTCCCCCCTCTCTAGAAATAAATAAAAGAAAAAAATGCCAAGTTTCAAGATGGGACAGAACAAATGAATGTTGTCATAGGTTGACACACAATCAAGAATCAACAAGCTAAGATGCCATTTTCTCAAATTTTGTGTTTTCTAGTAGGAGAAATGAAAAATGTTCATGATCAAAATGATTTTTGCAGGTCTAAAAGTCTAAAAGATTCAAGGTGTTTTCCCATTTGATTAATCTCTGAGGACATTTAGAAAGTGGGCTATAGACACTCAAACTGCTGTTTTATTAAAGAAAACTCAGGTCAGCATCATATAATTAAGACAGTCTAGAAGGTAGGAAAGAAAGCATTGGGGGAGGGAGGGAGGAAGGCAGGGTGGCCTGTGAAAGAATTTTCAGTGGCCTGCTGGAGCACACAGTAGGCTGAAGTGTGTTAAAGAGGCAGAGACAAGTAAGGAAATGGAAGAAGAAAGTGGAAACCTTGTCTACAGAAAGCTAACTGTGGAAGGAAGTGTGCCTTAGTGTGCTCCTTGGCAATGAGGAAGAAGCTACATACAAAGAGGTCAAGGGGCTAAAGAGGCAAGAGAAAGTGGGATCATTCTGTTGGGTCACAACCAAATTGTCAAAACTTTCCCTGCTAGTGTGAAGCCCTTTAAAAACTCACTGCCTGCAAGTGGGTCCAAGAAAGGATGCGCTAGAGAGGGATGGTAACCTGCCTGGGTCAAGAATGAGAAATCAACATAAGATTTAGTAACAAATTCACTTTTCAAGACTAATACTGTGGGTATTTGTGTGTGTGTGTGTGTGTGTGTTTGCGGAGGTGTGGGGGTGTCCTTCTCTAAAAGCCCAGCTCAGAAACTACAACCTCAAGCATAAACAGATGAGCAGAGATGTTGTGGGCTCTGCCCAAAAGCTTATTCTTTCAAAAGGCACAGCATTGTTAATTGGTCAGCTTATCAATGGATGCTCTTTCCTGTAGGTTTGTTTAGGAGTGGAAACAATACTGCCAGTCATAAAGTTTGCTGATTCCTGGCTTGGTCATCTCAGTGGGGCAAGTGCAAGGCCGTGCCAGGAACTCCAGATGACTGGAACGTACACAGTGCTACCCATAGACCCCAGAGCTGAGGTCGGGTGCGGCTGAGCCCGGGCAGGGGGCATCCTCAAAGTGCTTCTTTATTTAAACTGTGCTCCGGGACAATGTTTCACAATGACCCCACACACCTAGAGCATATGCACAGAGCAGCACACACACACACACAGCCTCACTGTGTTCTCTGGCCTACTTGCTTTAATTTCCATCCCTCTAGGCAAGATCCACAAATTAGCAGCCTTATAACCTTCCTAGGACATGGTTCTCGGGACCTTTAAAAGAAAAAGGCAGAGAAACAAGAACGCACTAATCGGGAAACCAGCGTTTCAGCCCACTCGGCCACGAGGGCCATCCGCACTAACGACTTTCACCTCCCCTTGCCTCTGCTGGCTGGAGGGGCGGGGAACCCCGCAGTAAGGAGGAGGACCGAACTGGGGGCCAGCTTGAAAGAAACAATGTAACAATTGATGTGAAGCCTCGCCTTACTCCCACTCCCCAGCGATCCTATAGGCGAGGTCCCAGTGACTGCCCTTTCTTATTGCTCCGTTTTCTTGTCCATTACACGCTATCCCTCCGCCTCTCCTTTCTTTTCTTTTCTTTTTCCCCCCTTCTCCTTTCCCCCATTTCTCCCCCTTTCTCCAGCTCCGTGTCATTTCCTCCTTGCGCTCGCTAGCGGCCGAGCGTCTTCAGCCGGGAGAGTAGGCGGAGCAGGGTGGTGCGGGGTGGCGTAGCGCCGGAGGGCGATGGTGGAGGAGCTGCTGGGGGCGGAGGCAACATAGCCCCTGCGGGAAAGGAGCCCCGCGGCGCCTGAGCAGAGTGGAGGATGGAGAACCGGCCTGGGTCTTTCCAGTACGTCCCTGTGCAGCTGCAAGGGGGGGCACCCTGGGGCTTCACCCTTAAGGGGGGTTTGGAACACTGTGAACCGCTCACCGTGTCGAAGGTAAGAACTGGCGGCTCTGTCCCAGCGGTGCTCAACTTTGAATGGGCAAACGGGTGTACAGTCTGTTGTGGGTTGGGGCCCTCAGACCAACTTTGAAACTTGGCTCGGGCTGACGGTTGAAAGCCCCCTGTGGCGCATTAGCAGCAGGGAGGGCTCGTCCCACCAGCCCAGGCACAGACACCCCTTAAGGGTGGCGGGAGCACAAATGAGAACACGGCTGGCCTCGGGCTAGAGCCCTGCGCGCAGACACTCTCAGGAGGCTCTGGGGAAGCCTTTGCTCCCCCACCTCAGGGTGGCTGCACCCCTCAGTTTGACTGGAGGAAGTGGGGGCTGGTGGGGGTTTCTCCTTAGAAGTTCCTGTGCTCCTGCGGGACAGTGAGGGGCTGAAGGAACAGGCAAGGCGGCTTGGCAGCTTTCTCAGCAGTGGTGGCTGTTGGTCGGCTGGTGGGCCATCCTGTCGGGGCAGGTTGCAGGGCGAGGGTCTGTTGTGGGAACGGAGATGAGGCATTGGTGGCTTTCGTCAGCCTCACTTCCCACGGCCGGCTGGACGCGCGCACATCCATTCAGCTGGCGGGGCGTTTCTCGCGCTTAAGTTCGGCCTTTCCCTCCCTCCCGAGTCCTGTCCCATCGCTTGGAGATTTCCTGCACTTTGAGAAGTGTGGAGGAAACTTTTGCGCCATGGAGCGCAGCTGTGCTGGAGCTGCTGCTGCCGCCGCCGCCGCCGCCGCCGCCAGGGTTTGTTTGTTTTAGGAGGCTGTGATCTCCTGGAAGCCAAGTTGCAGCTGAGGACCTGGGAGAGGAGCTCTCCCAAGTGCTCCAGAACCCCCAAAGCGCGCCATTCGTCGTAGTGGTGAGGGTGGGGGGCTGCTGGAACTGTTACTGGGAAGAGAGATTTGTAGGACAATTCAACCTGAGGAGCCAGATTGCCAAGTAAAGGAACTTTATGTATCTCATTTTTTTTTGTTTTTGTTTTTCTCTTAAATGCTCAGATCTGAAAAGCCTTTCCCACCCTCTGAAATTGCAGTTAAGGTTGTAGGTGTGGGTTTGTGTTGGAGATAGAAAGATGTGGCTTCTCAGCAGGGAACAAATGTCACTTCTTTTTTTTGCTTTTTAATGTAGGTCATGTCTCAGCAGGAGGGCGAATGCCCCCTTAACCTGTGCTACTTTGCATTGCACTGCAACTGCTGGTTAATTTGTAGTGTAGGGATCCTTCAGGCCTTGGAGCCCACACTCTTAGCAACCCTGGGATGTTGCCATAGAGTGTACCAATCAGCTTAAGCAGTCTGAGTTATGCTGAGGCAAAATTTTGAGAAGCTGTCAGGGAAACCTGAGGTCTTTAGCCTCCCCCAACATCGATAACCAGCCCAAATCCTCATCCAACACTCCCTTCCCCTATACTAGTCATGTATTTCTAATTTCTAACCAGGCTGAGATGCCTGTATAACCCACGGTCACACCTCTTCCTAAGGCACTCCCTGTCCAGTATTCTCTGGAGGGGGTAATATGCTTTTCCTTAAACAAAAACTCTCACCTCCATTGGAGAGGGGAATCCTGGCCTTCAGGAATTTCTTTGAATCAAACTCCTCCACCCCTCCCCCTTTTCCATCAAGGTCACAGCTGGCCATGTAGCCCTCCATGGTCTGGCAGTTCCTCTCTTTCTCTACTTACACCACCCACAGAACTTGCACTGTTTGCCTAAACAACCTACCTTGGAGAGGTATTTTTGCCCTTTGCCCAGGGCTGACCCATTCTGAGAAGAACCCCAGAGAGTGCTTGCTGCTGTGGTGCTGGATTGTTTTGTGCGCCAGCACTAGCATGGCAGGGGGTGTTACTAAGTATGGGGCAGCCAGCAATTTGTGGTATGGCTGGGGGATTATTTGAGGGTAGATGAGGGTTTCCTTAGCCAACCTGCTGAGGAAGTGACTCCTGTGTTGAGAGCAGAGTGCTTTTAATGATCCCCTTTCCGTTGAATGTATGGTTGACCCCTATTGTATGAAGGCTCATTATTACACACATTTGGAGATGCAGAGGGTAAACTCTTTTCTCCCATCCCTTCCAAATATCCTGGCTCCTTACGGTGAAATCCAGGTATTGTAACCTAGTTAGCCCCAACATTAAACAAAGGGACTGTAGTATTTTTAAGTGTAGTGATTGCCTGTGTTTTTTTTTTCTTGCCAAAACACTCTGTGGCACATTTCATTAATCCCCCTTTTCATTTCCTACATTAGTTTTGCTTTATCTTAAGCTTCAGAACAATACAGATTTCTTCTGGAAAGTAGCCTCAGTCTGCACACACTGGTGGAGATGGAATAGAAGGCACAGAAAGAGAATCACACTGGTAGATCAAAAACTTGGGTTCTAATCCTTGTTCTGCTCTTCACTACCTCTGGGATTCTGCATACCTCACTTGCTCTCCCTAGGCTAAAATTATGATGATCTAGTAGTCAATCCTTTATGCTAACTTTGGTCCTTTTCACCTCAGAAGGGTTGCAGACTGAGGAGGAGGATGCTTTGATCCATTTGGACACAGGGCTACTGTTTATAGTGTGTTTCCACATCCTTTATTTCATTAGCCCCTTACAGCTACCCTGTGAAAAAGTCAGGGAAGGTTGTGGAGAAACTGATGGAAAAACTGAGGTCGTGATGCACTGAGTGGCTTGCCTAAGTCTATCATATCATGAGTCAGTGGTATGCTCCAAGTCTATCATATTTTCTACTTCTTGGGAAGTTTTTTGATTCTTCTGGTAGTTCTGCAGTTTGTGAAGGGGCATGGGGAAATATTGTTTAGGTATACATACAGTCCTGGCAGCCTCCCACACCAGTGATCCATTCTGTACTAGCCTATGGTTCCACAGTAGGTGAGGACTGGGTTGCAGATGCTTCATGATGAAGCCTAGACTCAGGTAATAGGAGAGGGTTATTTGGATGATTCCAAATCATTTGTGATGATCTCCGGTCAGGCAGAGATGGAGGTAAAATACAAGAACGATGGTTGGAAATGGAGAACCTCCTTTGGTGTTATGGGGGAAAAAATCCAAAAGTGATTTGGGTCTGGGTGGTATGGCATACATGTTTGGAGATAGCTTGTGGGAAAGATGGAGGGATCTTGAGAGTGGACAATTTTGAGAAAAGGTGATTAGTGGGGAGAGAGTGTATGCAGTATGAAAATCTACCTCATACAAGATCTGTCCAGAAGATATACAGGTAGGTAATATGAAAAATAGAGATATTTATTGAACAAGATACAAGAAACATTATACATAGGACAATGACGCCTTGGTCCCCTTCAAAGTAGGCACCTTGGGACCTCACACAGTTCTCTCAGTCTCCATTAGCTGCCCCATCATATTTTCCCCAATCTCATCGATCATCTGAAATCTCTTCCCCATCAAAGGTGATTTTAGTTTTAGGAAAAGCCAGAAGATACAGGGCACCAAGTCTGGGCTGTAGTGGGGCTGAGTCACCTGGGTGATTTGATGTTTTGCCAAAACATTGTGCATGAGACATGAGGCATGGACAGGCACATTGTCATGATGAAGCTTCCAATCACCAGTTGCCTGTAGCTGCAGCCATCTGAATTATCTGAATAGTTTGCATAGAGGAATGTTCAAGCTAAATGCAAAATTTGATGCAGATTCATTGCTCTACTTGCTCAGTCATTTTGAATGCGATGGCCACACAGTACACATGCTCACTCAATGGCATCTACTGCCCCTACTGACTAGTTGTCACTGTTCATGCATGCATATTCCAGTCCACTCTTCTTGGCTGCCAGGTTACATTGATGTTGCACAAACAGTTCTTATTATATTAACAATGGCTAGAATTTTTCTGGACAGACCTCGTATTTGTCAGAGGAGAACCTTTGGACTAGAAAATGATCAGGTTGGAGAAATCATCAATTCCTGCCAGCTTTTGTGATTTCCCTGAATGCAGTGCATTCAGTTGCCCAAAGTTATGGAGATTCATTCAGTCTTTTCCTGACAATCAGGTAGAAAAAAGAGGAAATGTTTTTTAAAAGCTTTTTTGATTATCTCAAGTGTTTTTTGGTGTGTGTCCTTTTGTTTTATTTTTTAATTTTATTTTTTTCCATTATTCTTTAACCGTCTTAAATTCCCTCCACCCTGAAATCACCACACTGTTGTCCATGTCCATGAGTCCATTTTCTTTTTTGCTCAATCCATTAACCCCCTAACCTTCCCCCTTTAGCTGTCATCCTGCACTCCATCTATAAATCTGTCTCAGTTTTACTTGTTAGTTCAGTTTGTTCATTAGATTCCACACATGAGTGAAGTCATATGGTATTTGTCTTTCTTTGACTGGCTTATTTCACTTAGCATAATGTTCTCCAAGTCCATCTATGCAAAGGGTAAAATTTCTCCTTTTTTATAGCAGTGTAGTATTCCATTGTGTAAATGTCTCGTAGTTGTTTTATCCATTCAGCAAATGTTAGAGACAGTTTATAATTTCCCCACTGAAACATGACCCACAAGGGAACTGGGTCCATGACCTTGGTGTTATTAATTTCTTTGCTACTGTCTTTTTTCATTTGATGTTTTAGTATTTATGCTATTACAGATGTCCCATTTTCACCTTTTTGTTCCCCCTCTTCCCAGCCTACCCCCTCACTCCCACAGCCAATCCCCACACCATTGTTCATGTCCATGGGTACTTGATGTATATTGAAGTATATCCCTTCACCTTCTTTCATCCAGCCCCCCACTCCCCTTTATAGCCATTAGTCTATTCCACGATTCTATGCCTATGATTCTATTTTGCTTGATAGTTTATTTTGTTCATTAGATTCTTTTTATAAGTGAGATCATATGATATTTGTTTTTCAACAACTGATTCATTTCACTTAGGACAATAGTGTCCAGTTCCATCCATACTGTCACAAAAGGCAGGAATTCCTTATTTTCTTCTACTGCATAGTATTCCATTATGTAAATATACCACAGTTTTTTGATCCACTCCTCTACTTATGGGCACTTAGGCTG